GTTATTATTATGATATTTGAGGCTGTGTTTGAGCACAGTATTCAGGTAAACTAAGACCTTTAACTTTTCTGCTTGTTTTTGTCCCTCCCTCAGTCTTGTCGGCTAATCTGTGCCGGTAACCTTATCCCAATTTAAGAGCCCCCCCCCCCCCTTCTTCTTCACAAAGCCTTTTCTTGTTACGCCTGTACAGCAAAACCAAGCATCTGATTGATTCTCACTCATTTATCAGGATTCTTCTTCCTCCATTTCCTACTTTTTTTTAAAAACTTTTACAAACAGTGGCTTTTTGCAGTTTGTGGCTGAAAACAAAGGTGGCTCGACCTGCTTTTTCAAGAGTTAAACCACTCAAATAAAATCAACCGTTTAGTCTTTTTTCATGCAGATTGTGCCAGTTTCACTTGATCAGCTTTTGGGAACTTTTGGCTATTCGCTCGTAGACAGATTTGTTTATTTATTGTTTATTTATTTGGATCCCCATTACCTGTCAGTAATTTGACAACAACTCTTCCTGGGGTCCTTTTAAAATTATACAGACACACAAAACATATCAAATGATCACATCATGAGAACAACTATAAATTTCAAATGATTTTACATTACAGTACAATCTGTTACACAAATATTCATATATTAAGGCTTTCAACAAAGTATTTTCTTTGTTGGAAGTAGATGGAGTGGAGGTGGACGAATGTTGCTTGTAGGAATAAAGAAATGATCCATTACAAAGTCTGGAACAGAAAAATATGAGATTGAAACATGTCAACCATCCAGGTCTCATTACAGATGATGTATTCTGACTTTATTCTGTCAAAATCCACTACTGACCTGCGTATACATGTTGTATATTTCTACTCTTTTTCATGTTCCTATTATTTCTTAATGTGATTTTTTTAATGTTTTGTTCATTATGTAATGCAATTTCTTCATGTGAGGACCCCAGGAAGACTAGTGGCCATTTATTTGGCAGCTAATGGGGATCCTGATAAGCTAAAACTAAACTAAACTAAACTACACATGAATAGAAATATTCAGAAAAGCTTTAATTTAAGTTTTATTTGAGTTCTGAGTGGATAAGCATTATCCAGAACTCTCCAAAAACCTGTGGCCATCAAGCATTGCCAGACTCATTTGTGACTTTGACTTTATTTTAGTTGTCTTAATTTCCCTCTCTTACTTGGTTTTGTTTTTATTTTTGGTGTTACTGTTTTTAATCTTTGAGTTTGTCTTGTGTGGAGGTGATAATTGTGTTTTATGATTGGCTCAAATG